GTGGGAAGGAAGTCCATTTAAAGCAAGAATAAATAAATGCAGTCAGGAGAAAAAAAAAAAAAAAAAAAAAAAAAAAAAAAAGCTTGTATATGCAAATAGATGTTTATTACCCATCTTTGTGCTCCTAAGAAATATCATTTACTGATCTTTGAGAGACAGGTCAAGTAGGCCCATAGAATAAGAAACAAAGGCATCTTTTTGGCAACTGCCACAATCCAGAGCAGTAATTATCCCTTCTTCTCCCCGTGAGCAGCAGGAAATGAAGAGGGATGCCATTACACCATGACAATTACTGTAATTTTAATTTCTAAATATTGCCAGGAAAGTTTCCTTAAAAAAGAAGTCTGTTCAGATTTTTTATGTGGTTTTAGACTAAAACTCATTCCTCAGCTAAAACAGAGCTGTGCTTCCCCTTCTCCCGTTCCCTTGGGGGAACCACCCACAAAGTCTGCATGGTGAGAAAAATCCACTTTCCTCCTCATTAGTCGAGAAGAAAGAATTTCAGAGAATCACAGAATGGTTTGGGTCAGAAGGAACCTTTAAAAACATCTTGTCCCCACCCCCTGSCATGGGAAGGGCCACCTTCCACTGGACCAGGTTGCTCCAAGCCCCATCACTTGAGTTCACTCAACCATGGCCATAACAACAGATTTTTTCTATCAGAAGCAGATGATGCTGGATGCCCAATAACCACAAAGAATTAAAAAGAAGGATTCTTTTCATCTCCTGTGCTCAGAGACATTATTGGATTCGTTGTGGGTTTTCCACAGCCTAYCATCAATTATTTCAGTATTATGGATAATCTATTCYRTGTTACTAGAACATGATTTTATTWTATTATATTATATCYAGTGGGTTGGATGGCACCCAAGAGGACACTTTGTCCAGCCTCTCCTGCCACTGGCCACTCTGCCCCAGGCTCCAGGGGACACCTCAAATATTCCCATTGCTACACTGGACTTTGCCTGGAAGGAGCATTTTGCTCCTTGGTGGGTCTGTTTAGGGGGACAAGTGGGATTTGAAGCCCTCAGGAGCAGAGGTGACCATATTCCCAAATGCTGTCTCTGCTGTAGGCTGCACCAGCAATTCCCATAAACTGGAAACTACCTCCCGAAATTCCCCTTAATGAGCCTTTTGAGGTCTCACTTTGCCCAGTAGGTGAATATCTAAAATCACTTTCAAAGATTCAAGGAAATAGGCTTTTCTTTTTTTCTTTTTCTAATTGCTGCCACAAGGCACATTCAACAATGATCACTTGGTGCAGTAAAAAGTTGTGTCTTTCAATATATGCACCTACAGAACTCCATCGATTTGTCTATACACAAACACATTCCTACAAACACATATTTGATTAAGAATTTATATAACTTCAGGCTTCAAGGAATTTTGGATCAATGCCTTTATTTTGCTTTTATAAACAAATAAACTCAATTAAAGAGTACTTACAACAAACCACAATGGGCAGGAAACTAATTTTCCCAAGGCTTCACATGGCAATTTTTACCTGTTACGTGGGTCTGGGGAATCARTTATGCCCTAAAGGGAAATGATTAGGGTTTGTGTTACCCAGCATCTCACTCTTCCCACTCACCAGTGGGAGAGAAGAACTATAGGGATGGGCATCCAGAAAAACGAGCGCTCTTCAGACCTCTTACAATTATTTGCCATAATAAATTAAAATATAAATAAAACAGAACAAAGCCCTGTGGGCAAGTAGTGCTTGAATCAAGGCTGGATCTGCACCAAGTCACTGTGCAGCTTCACAGGACCCATAAATCAGGCCCCCTGAACATATGTAGTACTTTGCATTACTGTATAGGGTGTTAACTTTAATGCCTTCATATATYCACACAGTGGTCAGGTTACAGTTCCTGTGGGAACCATAAATTTGCATGTYCTGGCCAATCTGCTGCTGGAAAAATAATAACAATAAGTTAAATCTAACCACACCACTGCATTGCCTTCAGCAGGTTTTACACCTTTAATTCTGCTCATTTCTGTATTTTAGGCAGGAAGAGGAGAAGACATGTGAAGCTGCAAACATGCAGGGAAGATGAAGGAGATATTAATTAATTTTTATCCTTTTCTTGAGTGAAAACTCGTGTGTCCCTAGCCCAAGCAATGGTCACTGCATGAAAAAGATGTGCTCAAGCCTATTTCTGAGTCAGAAYATCTCACCAAGAACATGCTACACCCTCCTTTTCCATAATCCACCAAAACCTCTTCACCTGCAAGTGACAGCTACAGGGAGAAACAATCTGAGCTGATCCAGTTTAACCCAATTTCTGCTGATTCTGCCTTACCCACACCAAACTGATACTGCTGCAGTCTCCCAGTGGTTGGATTCTTACCTGGTTAAAGGCAAAGGGATTTGTCTCTGTCCCATTCTTCCTCCAGCTTCCTTTTGCTTCCAACCCCACCATCACTCACTTCAAGATTTGAGTATTTTTGTCTGACATTCTGTTTTTTTTTTCCCATATTAAAACTCTGTTTACTTCCAGAAAATGCTGGATTTGGAGTCATCAACCATTTTCAACATACAAAAAAAGGCTTGCTCCCAGTGCCAAAAATTTGCAGTAATTATCACTCTTCATTTTATTTCACTGGTTAGTGGCCAGCAGATGTCCCACATCCTATGGAATAGCCATGGCCATGCCATCACCTGGTAGCCCAGGCAAGGACAGAGATGTTCCCTCCCCTGCAATCCATTCCACCAAGAGCAGTCAAATACAATTGGTTAAAAACCCAAGAACTGATGCTTTATCGATGGCATGAAAACAAATCACGACTAATTTGCACAAAATTACCCACAAAATTACCCTTCTTATCTCTGAGCTCARCTACCAAACCCAATAAATATTTGATTTACGTTGGATTTGACCACAGTTAAAGGACATGTTGTTTATGTCCCTGTTCAACACGGATCAGAAGCACGGGGACAAAAATGAGCTGTTCCATTTTTATAAACACAGAGCTGAAAAGTGACATCTGTGCACAATGATGGGAACCCTCAGTCAGGATAAAGGAATTCTTCAGCCCTTCAGCACCTTAATTTCATTTTACTGACACCCAAAAACCACTAAGCAGAACAAGATCTAAGGCAAAATTGTAATTGCTTGAAACCTGGTTAATATTAAAGTTTTGGGCCATGGATCTGCACTGCTGGTGGGGTTTTCAGGGGCACCATTCCACCCTTTTTTACAGAGAAGCATCAATTCAAAGCTACAAAGTACAACTATTTCTTATACACATTAAAGTAGTTGTAGAAAACCAGGTGGCACAACAACACAACAAGGTAGGGGGAGAAAAGTCATTAGGAAGGCAGAAAATCTGTTGGCTGCTCCTTTAATTAAAAATATATATATATATAATCAAGAATATCAGAAATAATCACAGAAATTAGGCTTAGAGTTCTGAGTTTTGATGACACTGTATCAGCTGCAAATACCTACAAGTTTTTTAGCAGGTAGAATTTGACAGGCCAGCTTAATCTCTGTTGGATCCTTACTGCAGCCAAAGAATCTCCTGGCATCAAACCTCTCTTGGAAATTTTTGGATATTTCTTAAACACATGCATCCTAAATCTATAGTATTTTGTATTAATATTTGTGAAAAACCACACACATATGAGTACAGACAYATATATATTTACACAAACATATTTTTATACTCAAAAATTTGCATATGTTCACAGGCACACATGCAGCTAATTATATTTTATATAYATAAATTCACATGCATATAGGATTTTGCTAAATATATGAAACTAAATATATGCATCATATATGAAGTAATTAGAGTATATATGAATATGTATACACAAATCAGAATATATATGTATGTACTCTGATTACCAATAGCATTTATTCATTTGAAAAGTTCCTAATATGGGCTAAAAGAGAATAAAAAGGCTCAATTTGCTTATGTATCTGATAATTAACCACAGTGCAATGTAGCCAAAGAAAGCAGAACACATAATCCCTCTTAAAACTGGGGACAGGTTTGATAAAAACTYCTCTCAATTCCTTTTATGAAATTGTCCTTGGAATGTGATTTCACTGCGCCTACAAGCCCAGCTTCCAGGAAAAGGGGGTGTGGGACTGCTTTTTGATGTATTTCAGAGTAGACAAAACTCCCATCAAGAGTGGAAAAACAGCCCCATGAGGACAGAAAAGCAGAGAATAATTAAACAGGGTCTTATATAAGTATTTTTTCCAGAGTCCTGTTATTTTCCACCTCCAAAGACGTCACACATCTCTATTGAAAAAACACCTCAGTGGCTTCAATGTAGGCAGTGGAGGAGCTCCAAACTCTTCAGCATCATTAATGGGGTTAGAAAATAGCTTTTTTCAGCACTGTACTTACTGCCAAACACAGAGAAATGTGAACCTACCTGTTTGGTGCTTCTCTGCCCAGTAGAAAGCAAAGATTTGGATTTCTCTGCTATTTTCTGTTAAAAGGAAAGAAGAAAAAATAAGAAGAAAAATGGCTGAGAAAACAGTCTAAATATTTAGGGAAGGAGTCATATGAAGCTATTTTCTTCTGCTTTCTAAAGAAAAGGACACAGAGAAAGCTTTTACTCTTTAGAAAAAACAAAAGAGTATAAAAGCATTGAAAAAGTTCAGTCTTGCAGGCATTAAAAGTCTTCAAAGCTTCCAGAATGACAAGGTTATCAAAACTGAAACAGGCATTTAAGGAATGACAGCTAGGACGTGGATAAGTAGCAATTTATCACTCAGATTGGTTTCCTGACGCAGCCGGGCATTCACAAACTGCAGTGGTTAATTTTGGCACTTCTGAATTGATGACAGTTTTTAGAATAAAAGAAATCCAACCTAGATATACAGTTCAGATGGACTGTACTCGTGAACATTAGAGAAAAAAAAAAAAACATAAAAAATATGTGTGTATATGGGGGTGGAGCTCTTTACAAAAATCATTCAAAATTCTCATTTAACACATAAAATAATTTTATTTAAAGACCCCAGCCTTAGTTTCTTGKATAAGACAGGTAAATAATTTCAAACATTGAGGCAGCACTAGAGATGATGAAGTTCTATTACACAACAGACACGCTGTTGCACTGCAATTTTACATGCATCAATCTACTTATTTATTTTATTTTTAAGGCACTGGCAGCAAGTGCTGGGAAATCAATCAGCACGGAGCGTTTCTAATAGAGACACATTATTAAATGCCTGTTGTCAGCCAAATTTCATTACACCTGCATAATTGCAATATATCCCTCCCATTGTTGCAGGCATGCGTCAGACTCATTAAAGTGATATAAGAAAGCCACCAGACTTTGTCCAGGTTGAATTTTGTTTAATCCAGATATATCTCCTAACTTGCACTGCCGGGGGGAAGGGAAGCAGTTTGAGGATGCTAAATTTAAGTGATTACTACAGTGTTTAAAAGCAAAGCAAAGCTGCTCATCAGCAGAGCCTCCCCAGGGCGAAGCAAGAGGCAAATGAAGGAGCTGGAGTTTGGGTTTTGTTTGTTTTGTTAAACAGCTCGATCTTGGTGGCAAATCCAAACCTCAAAATGCGCCTGGAAACTTTCTGGCACAGCCAAATAGCACAGCAGAGTCAGGAGGTGGGGTGACAAATGAATTATCAGTGCTGYCTGCATGTTTTCTGTAAGCAGAGARGGTGAGCTGTGCAATCACTCCCTGAGAGTGGAGATGCACCAAAATAACCTCATGGTTAAGACAGGGGAACCAATGAAATTCCTACCAGACTGCTGGAAAACACAGGTTTGGGTTTTTTTTTTTGCTGCTCAATAGTTCTTCAGTCCTGTGAATGTCCTGTAATGATTCACCCCCCTGAACTTTTGGGATGTGGTCTCATTGTTGAGACCACATCCCAAATTCTGGGCTCAGTTTTGGGACCCTCATAACAAGAAAGACAATGAGGGGCTGGAGGTGGTCCAGAGAAGAGAATGGAGCTGGGGAAGGGTCTGGAGCACCAGGAGCAGCTGAGGGAACTGGGGAGGCACAGTCTGGAGGAAAGGAGGCTCAGGGGAAACTTTCTCTCTGTTTACAACTCCCTGGAAGGAGGGTGTAGCCWGGTGAGGGTCGATATCTTCTCCCAGGGAACAAGTGAGAAGGCAAAAGGAAATGACCTCAAGTTTCACCAGGGGAGGTTTAGATTGGATATTAGGAGATATTTCTGCTCAGAAAAYTTGTCAAGCACTGGAACAGGYTGCCCAGGGAAGYRGTGGAGGCACCAGCCCTGCAAGTGCTCAGCAAATGTGTGGAAATRCCCCTCAAGGACATGGTTTAGGTGGTGTTGGGTCGATGRCTGCRTTTGATGAACTTAAAAGGCTTTTYCAGACTTAATTTTATGATTCTAGGATTGCTTGACTGGCAAAGTGATAAAAAGGAAAAGGAACTATACACTAGCAACCCTGTGGAGATGCTCCAGGCTCATGGGAATTACGTTCACTCATATTTAACACATTCCCAAACTCACAGATGGAAGGGTGGAAGCAAGAAAAACACTCACTTTCTGCACAGCTCCGTATCTCTGGATGGCATCTGACAGCTGGTTCTTCAGCCTGTCCAGCTGAAGCCGTTCTTGCTGTTTTTTTGGGGGAAAAAAAAAGAAGGCTGGTTAGCAGGGCTGTAGAGATAAATCCAGTAGCAGGCTCTGTCTGTGACCATGGGAGATTGTCCTGGTGTGAGACGCCAAATAAATAAGTTGGGCACTAATGGTATCCTAAAAAAATCAATCTCACTGGGGCTGCTAGGATGCAACAAGATTTTATTTTAGGAAACAAGGACATGATGCTTTGGTCTTCCAGGTCAAAGCAACTGAAAAAATGCCATTTTGGATATTCAAGATAGCATTGGATAAAGTAACCCAAGGGATCCTCCCATTAAAAAAAAAATCTTTATTCAGATGATAACTCATGATAGRGTTGATCACCTCATTTGGGAGATTTACTGGACTTGAGAGGTCAATCAGTCATAAAATACCCTCTGCTTGTTTGACTGCCAGAAATCTGCTTACCTTCATGTTTTCCAAAACATGAACCCAAATGTCACTGCCCTTCTGGTTGGAGCTTGCTCCAGCAAGATTTCAATCTATCTTTTTTTTAAAAAAAAATCTCTTGGAAGAAAAAATGTAGTCAGACTGATTTAACTCTCCAAAATTCTTCCAAATCTCTGCTCTTAGAGGGAATGACCAATATGAATAGTGTCAGGCAATGGAAGCTCTCCTGCACCCTGGATTTCAGATTTCACATGTTCAGGAACTCACATGTCCAGGTTTTAGAGGAGGGAATGAACTGCAAGGAAGTGGGATGTCACCTTAAAAAAACAAAACCCAATCGACACTAAAGCTACTTAACAGAAGTGTTCACTTWACAGCCATTGCAGCTGTTTCAGAAAACTGCTTAAGAATGCAAAAGTAGAATTTATAAAGGACGGGATAAACATCTTTAATTTTAATGGCAATATTTTCTCACACAGAAGAATATCCCAGTCTTACAGTTCTTCATGCAAAGATTTAAAACCATTTTTAGAGCAGGGCAAATATCATTATCCCCATTCTATAGATAAAGGTCCATAAACCTTATGTTTTCTTGCTAAATAAGATGTGAAATAAGGTAAGATTGTCACCCTACAGAGCTGATCTTATGGCTCCAGCACTTACCCTACAAAAAAAAAAAAGTGGAATTCCACATCTACCTCTCTATTTCCATCCTTTGAGGTTAGTTTGGAACGGAGCCCTAAAAGAGCCATTTTACATCAGTCTCCCGTCTCGTAGCACACTGATCCACTTAGAGCAGCATCTTTGCTCCTGCAATGCYATCAATTTGCTCAGTTGGGCATCCTGACTCCAATAGCTCCAGCAGCACTTGGAGATTTATGGGAAGTCAGAGAAAGTCCCATATTGCATCTCGTTGGCAGTGCATTACTGGTGGAAAATAAGGAAGAAAGGGGAGAAAAAAAGAAGTTTTTTTTTTTTTGGTTAGTGTGTACATGCAAAGCAATCCACAGAAAAATGGATTGGTAAGGAATAACTATAAAGTTCTGGAAGGCTTTTCATGCTGTGAGTAATTTTATGGGAGGAGAGTTTGCAGTGCTAMCCAGATTCCCAAGAGGGACTTACTGACCAGCAGCCAATATCCACCAGAACAATTTATTCTATATAAGGGGACAGGGCTGACAGGCTTTCTATCAAAATTTGTRGGTTTAATTACTTAAACTGCACACTGATAGAAGAGAAGAGTTAAAAAAAAAATAAAATCTGCTAAATTAATTGACCAGTGAGCAGAAAAAAAGTTATTATTCGATTTGATAGAGAACAGCAAGTTTATTCCTCATATTACTGAAATTGTTTGTGTGTCTATTTTCTTCAGCTCTTAAATATGTTCCCTTCAACTTTGCAATTTTTCTCCCATGACAGTAAAACATCTTCTCCTGAAAGTCTCCATGGCCTTTAAGGGCCAATAATGACATTATTTTGTAGCACTTTAATTTGGTTTAAC